TGAGACCAGTTTTCCATACTGTGTTTGTGTATTTGAGCCCTGTCACTATATTATTGGTGACTAGAAATGAAAATTTTAGGCTGTATTTGCTCCCTTCTTTCAGTGTAAACCATGGACACTGGGGTTTCCCACCCTCGGGGATTGGGAGAACAATATCAGGTCTACCAGGTGACTTGATTTCAAGGCTCAAGATCTTCACGTCTGGATCCAGGGATTCTACAAATTTAAAACAGTGTATAAAATGTGAGAATTTCTGTCAAAATACTTCTTTCATAGTCATCAAGACTTTGGTAATCTCAAAATGTCCATGAAAAGTTCTAACGTGTCGTTTTTGAAGAACATTGACTGTACTAATAAGAGCTAAATTGTGCATAGATATAGTGAATTTTTTACCTTTACTACACCACATATTACAATTAACAGACACTCAGAAGAAACAGTTAAAAATCACCTTCCAGAATGTCGTATCAGGACTTATGACGGAAAAATGAAATTTGGTGCTGTGAGCAGTGAGCAGTGAGTTAAGAGAAAGAAATAGTATTAACACTATGTATATATTCAGTCATCTATACCTATGCTTCAAAAGGGGTGGTCCAGTATCGAAATTCTATTCTACTTTACTGAAATTCGTGAAGATGAAAAAGAACGCTCCTCACTTGAAGATCACACCAGAATTGTTATCTAATTTGTTTCTATGACTCAAAAACCGAGACAATAGCATTTATCAGATGATTAGTCAAACTACAAATGTTCCGACAAAACAGAATCCAGGAAATCATTTCATTTTCTTAATTGTATGTGCATATACCTCAATGGAATAGTTGAATACACTACCTTCGATTAAAGTCAATTAAAAGCTAACAGACATTTCGCGAGAAGGATTTGATCCTGGAAGAACAAATTAGGATTGCAACAAATATGAAGTCCACAAAATTTGTTCTTTAATATGACATTCCAAAATGCAATCAAATCAATCAACTACACATTTGTTTCGCCCAGTACCAAAAATTTCAAGTCGGCTATACAGATCATCTGCATTTGTTTCGCTCTATTCAGATCCATTTCATTCTCATACTAAACATATTCCAAAAATGAAATAAAACCAAGAGAACTTAAACAATTATATTTCTATCATGCCTTATATGCATTAAAAAGCAAATGTAGGGAAAAGAAGAGGACCATTACTAAAAGGTAGGATCCCAAAGTTCACATTTCTATTTTCTGGACTTACTCAAACCCCACATCATACAATATGCTATTTCAACCTGTTAGTTATTGTCACGGATACTCATCCCCATCATAAACAAGAAAAGGAAAAAATCTCAAATTTCACATGTTAGTTATAGGAAATTCCACAAAGTTCATTCATGAAGCAAATCTTGAAACCAAAAGAATGGTTACCTCCAACAGCATTGATATCCACACTTCCAAGAAGCTGCTCCTTCCATCTTCTCAAACTCTCATCATCCTAAAATTCCAAAAAACATGAAAAACATAACCAAACATTAACACAAAAAGAAGGGGGAAAAACATTTGGTGAGACGTAAAAATGCAATCTTTTTGGGGGGAGGAATTATTACATTTGGCCGCTCGGTCAAAAATATTTACAGCCGCTAGCCAGTACACATATATTATACACCAAAATTATAAATCTATAGACTATTTATTTATATATGTTTTGGATGGGCAGCTATTCAAGATAATTTCCCATATATAAATGGGAAAGACAGAAAAATGCAATTTTTACAACACCAACAACTACCCCTTTAGTCCCAACAAATTGGCATTGGTTATATGAAGCTTGTTTGGATAGTTATTACCTATTGTATTAAGTTATATCATACCGTTAAATTCATCGTTAGGTAATGACGAAAAGTCTCATATTGCATAACGACCGATATAGTGTGATCGCATCGTTACCTTTCCCCCATCATTTTGTCTTTACTTATTATTTAATAGTCCTATTTTATCCTTTATCTTACCTTTTTATATTACCTCTACCAGGTAAACTACTTCTCTTATAGATTTATATAACAACGGAAAACGATACAATCTATCCAACCATTATATTCATTATAACAATATAATACGCTACAATACAATACAACACAATACGATACATCATGATAACAATACGTAACAACCGGTAAGCACATTCCATATCATTGTCATCCAAACATTGTATACATTAAAACAATACAATATCATACAATACGATACATCATGAAACAATACGTAACAACTAGTAAGCTCATTCCAAATCATCGTCATCCAAACACTGTATACATTAAAACAATACAATACAACACAATAGATACATTATGAAAATAATACATAACAACCGGTAAGCTCATTCCATATCATTGTCATCCAAACATTGTATACACTAAAACAGTACAATATCATATGATACAACACAATACGATACATCATGAAACAATACATAACAACCAGTAAGCTCATTCCATATCATTGTCATCCAAACATTGTATACATTAAAAGAAAACAATATCATACAATACACCACAATAAGACACGTTATGAAACAATACATAACAACCAATAAGCTCATTTCATATCATCGTCATTCAAACAATACTGTACGATAAAATACAACACAATAACACATCATAAAACAATACTTACGTAAAACCAGTAAGCTCATTCCATATCATTATCATACTAAAAAATAAAAATGGAAAAAAAAAAAAAGAAGTTCAGGGGGAGGGAAAGAAGCACCTTATCCTTCTCAAATTGTTCTTTGAGAGTGCATTGTGGTCCCAACTCAATCTTATTATGAGTTTCATCTTCTTCCTCATCCTCAGTAGTGTAAAGGGAACTCTCACTCATTTGCCTGCTAACATTTTTCTCACCAGGCTCATGCTCAATCTCAGAATCAGATTCAGCAATTGAAGTTGCAGTTCCCCCTTTACCCTCCTTATCAGAATGCATAGCTACTGCTGCTACTAATTCTTCTTCTTTTTCTCTTTTTTTTTGGGAATTTCAAACAAACCCCAACAGCCGAAATTACAGAAAGGACAATTCTTGACAAGAAAAAGAACAAAAAGGGGCTACTTAGTCTTGTTCAATCAGAACATCAAGAAAAGCCCAAAGCTCAGAGACCCAATAAAAAAGAATCTCTTTTTATTGAAAAACAAGAAAATGGGGTCATAGAAAAATGGTTAGGATGAGTGAAAATGAAGAAAAAAAGAATACCAAGAAAACTAATACCCAGAAAGGATAATGCAAGTAAGAAGAAAAAGACAAGAAGAAAAAAACAATAGATGAAAGACACAGAGAGAAATATGCAGAAATAAATGGGGTAATGTGGTGATCCTTAAATTGTTGAGAATTAAATTGAAGAAAATGAGAAATAATAAAAGGAGAGAAAGAAGGAGAAAGGGAATGGTGGTGAGTTCATGAAGGTTTTCTTTACAAGGGATTCCATGAAAGAAAAATTATAATATGGTGGATGGTAAGAACCTCCCTTTTTGACTTCTTCATATTGAAGAACTAAAATAATAAGGTTTTAATTTATTTGTCTGATTTTAACTTATCTGATATAGAGTTAAAGAAATTTAAAAAGATTTTTGAGCCGTATTGTTATAAACATGTCATATGGAAAGTCGGATCATTCAATTTGTTTGTCTGATTTTTGACTAAATTAACACAAAGTTTAGGAAATTAAATAAGATTTATCGTGTGGTCTTAAGTATGTAACGTGGAAAGTGAGATGTTTTGAATTATTTTTCTTATTTTTGACTAATTAAACATGAAATTTTAGAAAATTAGAGAATATTCTTGGATCATATGATCTTAAATATGTCATGTGGAAAGTAAGACATTTCGATTTGTTTGTCTGACTTTGACTTATTTGACACGAAATTATAAGATTTAAGAAGATTTTTGGATAGTATTGTCTCAAGCACGAAAAGTCAATCATTTCAATTTATTTGCTTGATTTTTATTTACTCGTTACGGAGTTTAAGAAATTAAAGAAGATTTTTGGACTGTATGGTCTTAAACATGTTATGTGGTGTTATGTGGGAAGTTAGGATTAGAGTTGTCCAAAAAGGAAAAGATATATATATATATATATATATATATATATATATATATATATATTTAAAATGGATTAAAAAGATAAGTAAGACAAATAAATCAAAATGAAGGGAGTATACAATAAGCTTACATGTTCGAGAATAATATAAAATGAATTACTCCCTTTGTTTTAATTTTTATGTATAATTTTGATTTGACACGTAGATTAATGAGGTAAAGAAGATTTTAAATATGTCACGTAAAAGTTGAAATTTAAAAGTTGTCAAAAAAAAAGAGACAATTTTTTATATTTTCCAAATGCCTATCTGATGTTATCTTCGGGTTTGAACCCACAACACTAGTGTGGAAAACATTTTCACAACCCCTTCCTTACAACTGAGCCATCAATCAATTTTGTCAGGGGTTTACAAGCTAATATACATATATATATATACTTAATTTTCTAATACAAATATACAGTCTATAGAAAAGCTATTAGGTTCATCTGAATCCACAAACCCCACTTAGCTCCGCCTCTAGGTAAGACTGAACAATATATAAATAAACATTAAACCCAAGTCTAACATTATCTGAGAAAGTGTTCTCAAGGATTATATTTACACCATTTTCATATTCAGTAGTTTAGACCATAACTACGAAATGTAGCTATAGTTTGTCTATTTACGAAACATAGCTACGATTATTGTATCAACAGGTATTAGTTGTATCAACAAAATAACAAGTTGCAAATATCAATTATATCAGATGAAAAGGTTGTATTCAAGCCGCAAGTATCAATTATATCAAACGAATATCAACACATATTGTATCAACACATTTGTATATTGTATATTTGCTACATTACATAATCGTAAATACAATCTAAATATTTGTCACGCGGTGTAATTTTTCTTGACATTTGCATAAATCAGCCCATATATTAGTCTATGGCCCATTATCAGCCCAATAAGAAGAACAAACCATCTTTCTCCAAAATTAGCTGAGCAAAAGATCCGAAGAGAGAAACTCCAATCCCAAATTCGATCGAAAGAGAAAGAGAGAGATCTATCGAAGGCGAAAATGGCGGAAGATTTGGTATTGGATACAGCCATTAGAGACTGGGTATTGATTCCATTATCAGTGGTTATGGTTCTAATTGGAGTACTTCGTTACTTTGTCTCAAAGCTTATGAAGGGTTCTTCTCAAATACCTGATCCTAAAATCGTCAAAGAAGGGTTCTTTTCTAAGCTCTTTCTATTAGGTTTTAACGAATTTTAGTTTTTGTTTTTGTCCTGCTGAATTTGTTAAGTTTTTTTATTTCAGGCAAGTGATAATTAGGGCAAGGAATTTGAGAGCTGGGGCTAATTATATTCCAGCTAAATCGTTTCGTGCAAGGAAAGCTTATTACAGCAATGAGGTTAGATGTTATACAACTTTGTATTTAACGAAATATTTTTAGTTTATTTGTTTGCTTATTAAATTCATATATGTTGATCTTGTGAAGGTGGTTGTTTGATATTGGTATTTTGTATAAGCTTGATTGTAGAAATTAAGAATTCATCTAACAAGTTGAACAGGTTTATTTTTTTCTTAAAATGAATAAAGCATGAGCAGATGGTGGAAAAGTTTTAAAGTTGAGATAAGTAAGATGAATTGGAACTTTGATAACTTAGGGAAGATGAGGGATAGTAGGAGAGAGATACAGAAAACTGAAAAGAGTGGTAAAGGAGGGTGCTGGTTAAAACTGGACCAAGATGGTTGGTGCAAGTAATCCATTACCCTTTTGGTTTCTGGGTCTATGGAATCGAACATGAGAAGCTCTCAAGGTCTTTTTGCTATTACATGTGTTATAGCAGCCTCTTATTAATGCATAGATGTAACACTCAATGCTCCTATCCTGATCTGATTGTTTTAGTTTGACTCATACCTAAAACAAGAATAAAGCTTGAAGTAGTGTTTTTGGAAGAAAACAGATTGAAAACCTGTTACAAAGGCCACCTTTTTTACAAGTTTGAGGTGTTATCAAGATAAAAGTTGGTTCTGCTTGATTTTTGAGGTAGTATGATGTTTAAGTTTTAACAACTGATGATTAATCGATGAGAAGGATTCTTAGTGAGGAGCATGAACACCATTTTGGGAAGACCACACTAGACTATAGAAGTATATGCAATTATCTTTTCCGGGACAGGGGGGAGCATCAGAAAAGGTTGAGTCTGCCAGTTTGGACATGATTCTGCCTTTTGTTGTTTGATAGGGTGTTTTCAGGCTTCCTTTACTACACTTATCTTTTGTTGGCCTAGTAGTTAGGATGCAGAAGAGTTGTACAACAAGGAGGTTAAATAGTTGGATTAACTAGTGAACACTAGCTAATTACCACCTAGAATGATGATAAGGTACTTTAAGTGAAGAATATGGAAGCTAGTAACTATTGATTGGTGGAGTGAAGGTGAACATGATATAGAAAAGTTCAACTAAAGTGACCGCAAGCATGTCTATGCTCAACACTGAAGTTTATTTGGTCGAATTTGAATGTCTTTTGTAATTGATGCAAAGAGACCGGTAGAAAACTGTTGCATGCACAAATTTTGAAAAAATAGGGGGACATGGTTTGTATATGAGTAGAATTTTGTATTTATTTATGTGACTTCTTTATTATAATATATTCAAAGTAGTTACTAAAATACATATAGGTATATACACCATCAATTTAAATTGTTGTAAGCTAGTAAAAGAAAATCGTTCAGCATCACATGTCAAAAAGAACATCAACATCTATGCAATACTTAAACATATTGATAGAGGCTTCTCATACTTCTCTTTTCAAGGGAGTCGAAGGGGTTGGTCAAATAAGGGAACTGGAGATTCAACTTTGTCGTAAGCTGATTATACTTTAAAATAATTTTGTTGGTGTCCCATTGGATGACATGAGCAATTGTGCTTTAAGAAGTAAAAGAATAATTAGGAACTGGCCCCGAAGTGTCTGAGTGTTGTATACCATTTGTGTTCAATTTGAATAACTAAATAGGTTGGTATATGAGGTTTTTTATTTAAGAAAATAAAATAAATTAACCTGAAAATACAACTATTGTCCAGTAGTTCACTTGTCAGTAATTACATGGTACTAGCTGTAAGAACATGTTGTTTAGTTTGAATACATTGATGGAGGGCCTTTGGTTTCTTAGGAACAAATAGTTTACAAATATTACATATGACAATGCAGGAAAATGGATTACTCCATGTTCCCAAGGGCCAAGCTGCGAATCCACAGGCACAAATGTTCTCTGACCCAAACATGGCTATGGATATGATGAAGAAGAATTTGTCAATGATAATCCCTCAGGTATTATACTACTAATTCATCAGCTAAGATATTTTTCATAATAATCGATTGAATGTTGATATATAAGAATTTGTGAATCTAACTACTTTCTTGTGTATTCTCCATCTTGCCAGACTCTTACATTTGCATGGGTCAACTTCTTCTTCTCTGGGTTTGTAGCAGGTATTCCTTTTCCCAAGATTTGAATTCCTTATTTTCTTTGTCAATATTAAAATCTCGGTTGCATAGTGCATTCTTATCTTGAACGTGAAACTTTATATTATGTTTTCCTTATATTAACTCAATAAATTCGGGTGTTGTTTCAGCGAAGATACCTTTTCCATTAACTCAGAGGTTCAGGGCCATGTTACAAAATGGCATTGATCTAAGCACAGTTGATGTCAGTTACGTCAGCAGTCGTTCATGGTAAACATTAGCATTCATGACTTAATTTTAATCTTCTAAAGTACTAGTGTTTTAAAAGCTACGTTCTGTAATAGGCAACGCCCTGTATCTTATACTTTCTATGAAACTGCTCAGGTATTTTCTCAATCTGTTCGGATTAAGGGGTTTGTTCAGCCTCATTCTCGGAGAAGAAAATGGTCAGTAGTTTTTGTAGAAGTTTGTGTAATTTCTTTTTTCGCAAGTAGATGTCAAGAGTCAAGACGTGGCCAATAATGTCTGTTTTTAATGTATATTGAGAAGTTTTAATTCCAGAGAAGCATTCACTTGGTTTTATTTTTCCCAATTTAAACTAGTTATATCGATATTTGATGCAGCAACTGATGATACTCAACGCATGATGCAAATGAGCGGATTTGGTATGGACCCCAGCAAGGTAAAACTCTCTTAGGCTACATGCTTGTAATCAAATTTTTCCATTGATATTCTGCGCACATTATGTTAATCAAGACCAAACTAACTTTCGTATTCTTACCTTAAAATGTTAGCATTTTGTGCTTAGTTCTTAAAGAGTTCCCTTTGGGACCAAGAAATATTTAGTTCGTATCAGCCCTTCTTCGTCCTTAGTTTTTCCCCGTTGCATTTTCTCTGCCACCCTGAAACTAGATTCCTTTTGATCAAGTAGTTAAGGAAATAGTCTGTCAGTGGAGAAGGAAAGGGGGCGTCCTTTTGGCTTGAACTCATTATGGAGACATTGGTCCTGACAAAATCTTGAATCTATCCTTATATGTCTAACTTCACTGATTAGCACCTTGGCTAATGGATATTAGGCTGCTAGCTATTTGAAATCAATCTCAGCTGAGCAGGACCAGGAAAACTAATCATTCGACGATGTCTGTTTTGTGAACAAATTGCACTTCTCCTATTATATCTTGCTCTGCGTTTATAGATGTTAATTTTCTTCTACAGACTTTGGGAGCAGAAAAGGACGGATTAGACATTGTTCAGCATGATTGGGTGCTACCTAAATTCGAGCAGCGAGCTGAATCAGTCTTGCGGAAACTTGTGAAATGAGGATCTGCGTTGGCGTTATTTCGTATTTGGATATGCAGCATTTTGCTTGCTGATCGAGCTTCTTCTCGATGCATGTGGTCATCGTTGCTGAAGACGGTATACATTGTTCAAAAGCCAAGATGCTTGTCATAGTAACTTTTGTTTTCTCTTTACCGAAGTTGGTGAATTTGCTGCCACTTTCATGTAGTAATAGTTTTGAAATTTCTCCAACTCTATAATTTTGGATGCAAGTTAGTAACTGTAAGCTTTGATGAATTAACCATTTTGGTTGTGATTTATGATATTTTCCTACTAGAGACCACATTGAATTTCTGCAAATGTTAAATTGTGAACTTAAAACTGACTTTTTGTTATTCCTGCTATGACTCATGATCATAGTTGTCCTCATTGGAATCAAAATCTTTAGTTAGATCGCTATTGTGTGTATGTATGTGTATTTGATACGATACAAAACTCATGTTATTTGCCATAGGTTCACCTTTTTGTTCACCATATGAGGACTCATTGGAATAGTTTTGGTTAATTCTGGGCTAGACATTGAGCTATACGTTCGTTTGTCTTTAATTTATTATAATGGTGTTGTTTGGATCAACATGTGTGCATCTCAACTGTCCAACAAATACATGCTTACTTCCTAGTTCCTACTAACATAAATAACGAATAATTCTACGTATCAAAGACCTAAATAGATAGAAAGAAATTACTTAATATTTTTTTCGTTTGAGGCCTTGTGATTTTCCTCCTTGACATACTAGGGTTTATGATCTATCATCCTAGAAACTTTAAAATGCTTTCCAAGAAGAGTTTATTTTACCCGACTCTCTTCTTTTAATAACAAGGCAGACATCCTCGTCCCCATACTTTTTTAATTTCGAATGAAAATAAAAAGCGTCCTTTTTTAGCTTTTAAAAAGCGAGTGTTTACCAAACAAACAAGAGTCTCTTTCTATCATATTAGTTAAGCGCTAACGGGGACGAAAACTAACGAAAATAAGCATCAACTTTCATGCAATTGCTAAATTCGATTGGGCTGATCGTAGTTGTGTAGCCGACAAAATATAATTGGAATTGTATATACACCGATCAAATTTTGATCAGGATTGAAACATAATTATTATTGTATTTGGACTAAGGCATAGTTATATATGATCGAATCAACCAAGTTTAATTGAGATCGTGACATAGTTGTTGTTGTTGTTATTATTATTATTATTATTATTATAGAAACAAACTTAATTTTTAGAAAGTTTTTTTTTTCTTTTGTAAAAGACACATTCTAAAACATTTTAAGAAATCTAAAATCATTATAATACTACAGATATTTAAAAGTTTTATTTTTGAAATTATATTTTTCTTTTATGATACTTGGTAGTTGGTACATATTTTTAAAATTATAAAAATCTTTAGATTTCTACCTAAAATTATCATAATCATCGAATACTTGCTACAATTTTGCACCTTTAATCTATGTACTCCCTCTGTCCTAATTTATGTGGCATTTTTTCGTTTTTTGAGAGTCAAACCGTTTAAATTTATCCGGGAGTTTGTGCATGGAATCTTCATTTTAAAAAAAAATGAAATTTATGTATTTGTAAACTACGTAACAAGTACTATAAGTCACAATAATTGATAATTCAAAATGTTTAAAAGATCTATGAAAAATTTACGGTCAAAGATAGACTTGTTTGAATCTCGAAATCCGAAAAATGTCACATAAAATGAGATGGAGAGAGTACCATTTATGATTTACACACTATTTGTCTTAATTTTTATAATTTCCCCCTAGTTTATCAGTTCATATTTTCATTTAACCACTTCTGCTAATCACGAAAAAAAATTCATCGTTGTCAAGAGTCCGAAAAAAATAATGTCATAATAAAGCGTAAATCATCGATTTAAATCTAACTTTTGCAACTATATCATCAATCTTTAATTAATTACATAATAAATAAGATTTGAATTATATTTTATTTTTTTAAAAAAAAAGATAAAGTGTTTTAGTCTATTTAAATAATTCTAAAAGAAGTAGTAATAATGAAATTTAGATTTTAGGAATCATAGATCTAGGTGGCAATGACATAATTCCAGCATGGCAAAAAAGGAGTGGGGCCCAAGGTCCACGAGATTTATACCTGAAAAAGCATCTTAGGGCCCCACTTGATCTAAGCATCTTTAGAATGGGCGGTTTGTATGGGTCCCACATTGTAATATGGACTTTATTATAAAATTTAATAAAAATAAAAGTTACCACGTCAGATTATTCATGTTGTTTTTGCATAGTCCAAATAGGACGATGCTATGCGCGGAATTTAGGAAAGGATCGAATCACGAGAGTTTTACGTTGTTTTCATAGTATGAACTTGGGAAATTGTGATTATGTGCGAGATTCAGGAAAACAACGCATTTACGTTGTTTTCACAGTTTGAACTTGGGAAATTGTGATCGTGTGCGAGATTCAGGAAAGAATCGTGTCACGAAAATTTTAAGTTGTTTTCACAGTTTGAACATGTGAGGTTCTGACCTCTTGCTACATGTCAGTAATTTTATCAGTTACATCAAAGCTCTTCCAGGAGGAATCCTAAAATTTTGTTTGTTTTCTAGGTTCTAAAAAGCATGAATTCTTAAGAACGTTTAGTTTAGTTCTATAGTTAAAGTAAAAAAAATACTTAATTATTTTGAAATTAGGGGAAATGTAGTAAAAACTTACGGTTTAACATCATTCCACTTAAAATATAATCAATAAATGCAAAATATTAGGTGATTTTTTATCTATTCAAAATACACAATGTAACTCAATATCCTCGATATCAATACGTATAATTAATCAAGATGCGTGTAAATTAATCCAGCTGTGGAGTTGTTAATGATCACAATTTGTGAGTGGGGATTGAATAAGCGCCGGCCTAGTGCCCCCTCTTAACGTTAATGTCCATTTTCCCCAATATGAATCTTTAACATGGACGTATACAATATGATAATGACATGAACGTTTCAACTTCTAATAATTTTTTTAAATAAAATATTTTTTATTTGAATTTAAAATTTTTGTGTTTGTTTTCATTCGTCTATTAATTAGGTTGTCAAGTTAATCACATAAAATATATTATTATTTTCAATTATACGTGCTTTTGTCTCTATAATTTGCAAAACACCAAACATTTTCTACTTGAGATTGATGAGTTAAATTAAAAAAAATATGACATTTGTAGTTTGTGGTTAGCTTAACTACCTAATTAATGGGAAAATGAAAACATTCACAATTTTTTCTTCTGAAATTTGAATCTAGAGTGTCTAATTTAAACAACGTATTAAGAGTAATTGAAACAAATTTAATAGGCTGGCGATGTATTAAGCTTTTATTTATTTACTTTTAATTAGGTGGTAAGAGGGTGAATGATTGTTGCATGCCGTAGACGAAGGGTTGGTAGTAATTTAGTTTGCATTGCTTTTCATGATGGCCAACACTTTCCATGATCCAATAATACTCATCGAAAATTGCATCAAGATAACTTTTTTTTCCATATATATATATATCAACAACAACAATATATCCAATGTAGTCCCAATCTAGGGAGGGTAGATTGTACGTTGATCTTACTTCTACTTCAGAGGTGAAGGAGAGAGGTTGTTTCCAATAGACCATTGATTCAAAACAAAAACAGGCTAGAAAAAGACTTTATGAAAATACAATATACAACGGATAGTAACAAAACAATAATTAGGAACGTAATGGTACTACTACAAACTACACAAAATAATAGATAGTCACAGAAATCAACAAACAAGAAACTTCAAAGTAGTTCTACGACTACTAGTAAGCACAACAAGATAAAACACTCCTATCTTCCTATCTAAGCTTGTGTCCTTGATAAGTTGCAATTGTGTCATATTATGTCTAATCACATCTACTCAGTACTTCTTACGCCTACCTCTTCTTCTGAAACCGTCCATAACCAACCCCTTACATTTTCGCACTGGGATATCCGAACATGTCTAAACCTTCTCAAATGTAAAATTTTATACATATAAAGTAAATTTTTTTAACATACATATAAAATTTAATCAAAATTATTGAATTCTGTTGAATCCACAGACGAACCAAACTGCAGCAAAACCAAATAAACAAAAAAAATAAATAGTACTATGTAACTAGTGTAATTATAATTAATTAGAAGAACATAAAAGTATGATAGTCCTACAGTCACCTACATACTAGACACTGCACAAAACACAAAATAATTTAATTTAAGAAAAAGATATGATAGTTGTTATAGCAAATGGCCTCCAACACCATGTGGATTTGTCATTTCCAATAAATCATACAACATGGGTTTACACTCTCTAAAAATAAAAATTAGCGATGAATTATCAAAAAAATTTATTTAACAATAAGGTGTATTTACTAATAAATTAACGATGAATTCATAGCTAATTTTTATTTCAAAACGAATGTTGTAACTAAGTGTAAGCTTGTGTGCCAAAACCAAGTGTAAATCAAGTTAGATATACATTTCAAAACTCATAACGTTTAAATTCTTAATCAATAGAATATTTTTTGAGATAAATGAATCAATTATTCAATAATATCCGCAAAAAGGAAGACTCTCATCTTATTTTTATATTTTTTTCAAAAAAAAAAACAATTATTATCGAGTTGTTTGATAGTACTAATTAATACTACTTTTTTTTCTTCTTTTTAGTCTATTTTATTTTTTTATAACGGTTAATTTCAACTTTCCATATAACATGTTTTAAGTTCATTAGATTAAAAGATATTTTTGTGCATTTTACCTGATTTAAATGTTTTCTTTATTTTTTTAAATTTTGTGTCAAGTCAAAACCAGATAAATAAATTGAAACGAGGGATGTAATATACTTTTTTTTTGGTTTCTTATCCTGTGTTTGATACTCACATTGGAACTTGACTAAATCCGAATTTACGTCGGAAAATATCACATTAAAAAATAAAACGCTCCTAACAAAGACGACTCCGTACAAAAGTAATATACTTTTATATGTATAGTAAAGAATAATAAAAAGAATAAAAACATTAACAACTAGACATGCAAAATTTGTCCTAGCCTTTTATGTCAAGTTGAGGTGAGATGTCATTTTGTATATCCCTCAATATTCTTCTTTTCACTTTTTTTTTATAAAAAAATTCTCTTTTTTATTTTTTATATTAATTTCATTAAATATTGTACATTTTATTTCCCTATAAATAGCTCTCTCAATTGTTCATTTCTCATCACCATTCTTACTATCAAAAACACTTTTGCTCCCTTTTTTCATCTTTTCATATTCTTCACATCTTATTAGTTTCAATTTTATTTCAAAAAATGGCCACTGTTGAGGTACATTTTTCTCTAGTCATTTTTTTTAATTGTTTTCAATTTATATAATCTTTTATCTTGTATGATTAAATAGATTTGATTTTAATTTCATTCGAGCATTGGATCTCCTCTCTCATCTCAGTACCACACATTTTTTTCTATGTGTTTTAGTCAGAAGCGGAATCATGATTTAAAGTTTACGTGTTCTGAACTAATAGTTGAACTCATATAAGTTGCTTGAGTTCACAAATTAAATTATAACACATATTCAATGAATTTCCTAATAAGTCTAAAGCTACTCGTATTTAATACTTAGATCTTAATATGTAATAAAAAAAAATGGCCACTGTTGAGGTACATTTTTCTCTAGTCATTTTCCTTTTCTTTATTGTTTTCAATTTATATGATCTTTTATCTTGTATGATTAAATCGATTTGATTTTGATTTCATTCGAGCATTGGATCTGTTGTCTCATCTCAATACCACACTTTTTTTCTATGCGTTCTTGTCAGAAGTGGAATCAGGATTTAAAGTTTACGAGTTCTGAACTAGTAGTCGAACTCATTTAAGTTTGCTTGAGTTCACAAATTAAACTATAACACATATTCAATGAATTTCCTAATATAGATACATAGTCTAAAGCTATTGAGTTCGTCAGAACTCATATTTAATACTTGATCTTAATATGTACTCACCATTGCATTTCATGTCAATGCTAGTCGTCCTGCTTCTATTTTTTCACCGCGTTTATTTTTTGGTTATGAAGATTCAATCCACACCAGCAACAGAAGTAGGAACTATTCCAGCTGAAATCGAGGCGAAAATCACACCAGAGACGATCAAAATTGAGGAAGTAGCCCCCGTTACAGAAGAAACAGCACCAGCACCAGCACCAGCAGAAGAAACCGCTTTAGTTGAAGAAAAAGCGGTCCCTAATGTGGAAGACACCGTGATCGAACCAGCACCAGCACCAACACCAGCACCCGAAGAAGAGAAATCAGCCCCAGCTGTTGAGGAAGCAGTGGCTGAAGAGAAAACAGAGGAAACAGTAGCTGCAGAACCAGAAGTTGTTGGTAAGATAAAAATATTTCTATTTTTTTTAACTTTATGATTAGTTATTAAATTAGATATTTGTTTTTTCTCGCGGGCCAAGCCTTTAAGTTGTTTAAGTAGATTTGATCTAGGGGCACCAGGCAATGGATACTGTTCTCACACAGTTAGTAGGTTAATAAAGGAAGCATTAGAATGTGTTTCGATAGAGAAAGACTTGTTTAATCCTGTAGAAACGTTCACATTGTTAAATAGGACAATGTTTTACTCATATTTATTCAATATTCTTGTTGTTTTTGCAACAGATGATGAAAAAGTTGAAGTGAAGACTGAGGCAAAAGAAGAAGATGAAAAAGTTGTTGATGCATCAGCTGTTGAACAAGTTGAGAAGACTGAAGAGTAAAACTGATTTTGACTCTTTTTATGATGAAAAAGGATGGCGAATAATGTGGGGTGGGGGATGGGGGATGGGGGTTGGGGGGAGTGATGTTTTAATATTTTAAGTTAAGGTTTTATATATTTATTATTAGTAGTATTTAGTATGATATCTAGAATGAAGGAATATGTTTGTTGTAATGCATATATCCTTGTGTCTTTGGTCTATGGTTTGTGGTTGGGGGGTGGGGGTGTTGAGTCTATCTTTGAATAATAAAAGGATTAGTATATCTTTTTGCCTATTTATGATTTTTCTTCTCTTTTCTTTCTAATAAACGGTGATATCCAGACCAACTTATTTTATTTTGATTATTCTAAAATTATTTACGAGCTTTCATCAGTATATGTTTTGGGTAATTCTACTCACCAAGAATTTAATAAATGAGTAGAGATCACTTACTATCTCTAAAATTTTCATGACTATTCGCTATTAAGTCACATCCTTAAATGCTTAGGTGATGCTTCTTTACAAAAAAATAATTGGATTTCTCATTCCTTAGACGTATAACGAAGTTTGAAGAATATTTTCATACATTAAGGTTCACCTTGAATAGCTTGTTTTGTTGTTATAGTTAAACTATCTTTGATTTTAAATTGTGACCTTCTACCTCTATACTTTAAATTAATTAGAGGGTACGATAAAATAATTGAAATTTCTCAATTCTTTTAAAATAATGGTTAAACACTCTCCTCCCAATCTAGAATAAAATAAAATTATAGTACCAATAACTATTCTTCAATCACAAGAAAGTCACAATTGATTATAAGAATCTTTATTTATCAAGTCGTTCTAATTAGCTTAACTCAATATATTTACATACAAATAAAAACTACAAAGCATCTGAAAATTAATACAGAACATGACCAAATCATCTTAAGAGATCTCTTATTTTATCTTTCATGTGGTACTTACAAACAACACCTTCTGTCGTGGATCTCATTCTTTTATTTTAGTATACTTGTAGGTTTATCTTAACATTCACATTTGTACAACACTCATGTTGTCGATATATCGAATACTATAGCAACCCAAGAGCCTCAGTATATGCATCTCTCTATCATATATGATATGGTATAATATAATATTCTCATAGCACTTCTGCATTTCAACTATCCTATTTTGATTTGTGTAATGTATCCACTTATCGTACCACTCTCTCGAAACATAAAGTCCGGATATCTGAAAATAAGTGAATGCCTCATCTCTCTTTCTCCCCGATCTCGTTGGACCATTTGTATCTATATGCATTAGGATTTCGATTCATGGATCTCTAGATTCGTGAAATCAAAATAAAAGGCTCAAACCATTTCTTCTGATAAAAAAAGAAGAGAAAAACCCAACTAGTAATACCATTCTCCACAAGTTGGCTATGAATGGTTCCAAGAGAGGTAGACTGAAGAAGTAATGGAGAGAGGTGATTTAACCGGACATGACGCAACTTCAACTTACTGACGACATGACCTTAGATAGGAGATTATGAGGGACACACATGCATTAGGGTAGAAGGTTAACGTTGTCCCGCTTATTTCCTTGTGCCGAAAATCTACCGAAAATAAATAGTCTATCTATCTACCTCCAAGATAGAGGTAAGATCTTCGTACACTCTACCTAGTGGGATTACCCTATGTATGTTGTTGATGTAGTACCATTCTTCACAGATTAGTGACATTGAGTCCAGAGGGTGTCTGGCATATCAAGAAAAGTTGATGATTGCAACCATAAAAGAAGTGAAATGCCAAACAAATCTGTACTCAATACAAATATAATACATTTGCTAATCTAACTCAAAGGAGAAGGCAATATTACAATCACTTCCCAAGGCATGCTCTTTTTAGCATGACAAAGATTGAAAATAAACCCTAAGCTTTACAAATATAAACAACAATCACACATGAACAAATATAATTAGAAGTTAAAAGAAAAAACTTGACCCTTCTTACTTTTTTTTATTAACAGATATTATACCTGTATAAAAGTTAAATTAAGGTGAGAATAAACTACAACCTTCCACCATTTAAACCAACTAGAAAAACCTTACCAAAGTTAAGTTCCAAATAGGAGCATACGCTATACATATGTACAAGTTGATTACATAACTTATGTGCAGTCTGATTCAGGTCCAAAAAGATCGATGGTGTCACCACGTACCAAAGCTGCAACCGACATGCTCTTGGGTGATAATGTGAAGTCGATCTTGCATGACATCCATGGATGGATAAGGAGGAAAGCATAGGCGGAAGAAGCATGTGTGTGAAGAAGGCAAACGATCATTTGACTCTCTGGTTTTGTAGATGTAAAGCCTAGAGGCCAAACCTCCAAAACCCTCGACAGGAAGATACTTTATTGAAGTCCAAAAGAAGAGGAGAACCTTTCTCTGCTCAGCTGACATGCACCCAACAATCTGCAGGAATGAAAGAAAACAAATTTTAAATTGGTATGAATCAAATCTCATAAACCGAGGTTCATCCTCATAATATTCGAAGTAGTAACAACCAAGTCCCCAAGTCCACCTTAGGAACAATTAGGTAATCCAGGACTTATATCCAATGACCATTGACCACCAGATACTTTGTTTGCTTGCTTTCTCCACCTGTGTCTTTTACAGAAAATTGCAGTAATCCGAGCCCCAGGAGCATGTTAAAATGGATCCTTGCGTAGCCTATTACCCAATTCATATTCACAGAAAGTGAAATGCAATGGCACAACACTACTAAATGCAAAAGGAGGGTAGCTCTAGATGTGCATGTATGCTCAAACTATCGATTTGTCGGAGCAGAATAAATAAGACTCATCTTATGGCACTGTTCAACTTGTTTGGTTATCTACTTGAACAAAACTTTGCACCTCTCAACAGAAAAATCCTTTCTTAAGTTTTGTAGAATGACAGATGAGGTGACATAATATCTCCATGATGACTATAGATGATCAAAATCAAAAGATTGCAACCTCTCCAAACAGCACAACCGACAGCGGGGTATAGCTTTTTAGAGTTGCTTTCATGGATAAATTCCTATACCCAGAATCAAAGCATTTAGTTTTTAGCCTGCAAAATGCTCTTCACAGAAACCAACAGTTCTTCATTGTTAATTCTTATTCCACCTACAAATATGATAACGGTGTGAGCCAAGGGCGGCAACGGGTCCACATCCTAATATTAGCCTCTAAATTTGCTTCGTGCTGGAATTTCTGGAGAAAAAAAAAAGATAAACCAATTCTAAAAAGTAATTGCTTCTCTCTATCCAAGCATTGAGCAATCAAAGAAGACTACGAACAATTGTTTATGGAACTTTTTGTTCGTTTTCCATTACCTTCTCATACTCAAGCATCAAAGAAATATCAAAGGGTATCATTTTTACCATCCTAGTATAGACAAGATAGAGAATATCATAGAGCTTAAAATCATAGTTAAATCATATCATTAGAGTAAAAAGGACGACAACCCCTCTAGATTGCCTATATTGGATATCCCTCACCCTTATTTTGAAAAAAAAAAAAAAACAGTAACCCACTAGCTTTTTAGTGCTATTTGGCACACCTATGTATGACCCTATCTAGTCAAAAAGTATCTGAAAGTTGTCGATGTTGCACAAAATGAGAAATTTACAACCAAAATACCCTTCTAAAGTAAGCTACTATTCACTAATTATGCATATCTTTTTCTCACACACATTGTTTAGCTTTATAAGCTAAAATTCTAGTTCCTTTTTCAAGCATCTTTGGCTAATGCTTAATTATATATTAACTTCAATAAATCCAGACCTTATATTAAAAGGTAGAAGGAAAAAGAAATTAATGGAAGTACCTTTTTCTAGATAAGTGGAAATGCCTAGTCTAACATGTCATATTAAAGTGCCTAAAGGTCAATGAAGTGGGTTAAAGCCTCAGGTTCAAATCCCAGCAGAGACAAAAATACTAGGTGATTTCTTCCTTGTTGTCCTAGCCTTTGGGAACATAGTTACGTGTTGCTGGCAGGTACCCCATGGAATTAGTCGAGATGCGCACAAATTGGCCCGGACACATGGTTATTAAATATATATATATATATATATATATATATATATAACCTAGTGTATATATATATATAAGCTTGTATTCTCTCTATTAATATAAACTCGAAGATTTGCACATTGAAAATTACGTTTATTGGCATATGTAGGCAATCATCATTTTTTGCACGTATAAGTTGTAAGATGGACTAAATTTGTTTCGAAGTTAGATCTTTCTTTCTCTTTCACATAGTCTTCAATTATTAAGCACAAAGGGCATATTGGCCATAGCATACTCGCTTGCACACTTTTTAGCAAAAGGGTCTAACAAAGGTGTCACTTAGTTTCACAAAGCAGTAAGGTATCTGTAACTTAAGTGGTTTAGCAAGGGTGTCCCTGTAGCTTATCCTAATATTAATTAAGTTTATTATATTATATGTCAAAGAGAATTTGCTAAGAAACTACAGAAGTAAAAACAAACAGTGTAGTTTCAAGCGAATTATCTAGTGATATAAATAGGCATAGAAGTGAAACGGGCTCTTCCTTAATGTTTCTCCTTCAACAGTGGCCATTTGATTCAGAATCTCTTAGGAAAACCAAAAAAGAAATATTAGGAAGGTACAGTCCCTCATCCCCACCAGGAAAAAAAAAATCTCCCTTCTCCGAAAAGAAGAAGTAAACACATAAAGAGAAGAAAGAAGAAAATATAGATTTTTGCCTGGTGCAATACCTTTGAAAAGAATCAAGCTTCTATACAGAATGTTAACAGAGGAAAGACTGACATGAAACAAAAGAAATGAAGTCTCCAAATAAAGGAAATGTACAGACTGCAAGACTAGAAACAGAACATACCTTCCAAAACCAAGATATTTGAGGATCACTTTCTTTATAGCCATTATAATCAGTATGTGCTTTCCAGTCTTCCACAGAAACAGCAGTTTCACTCCCGTGGAGCATCCAATCAAGATCTTCAAGATCTAAGCTCTGGAAAAAGGATTTCTGGAGCCTTAC